AAATGCTATTTTCCAGAATGTTTGGGGGAATCTAAGTAACATAAAAATGCACTGTTAGAAGTTAAATTCTTATCACATCAAAAATAAATTTCTTTGGTTCTTTTCTTTTCTTTTTTTTTTTTTTGATATTAACATGCAGCACAAAATTAGTAATGACTAACATATGAAGCACACAACTACAGTTTATTAAGTATGAGTTGACAATATACTAGAAGACTTTACATTTCTAAACCACATAGTGATTCAATTAACACAAGAAACTTTTATTTAAAAACTCAAACAGCACAACTGCTTACAGAATTACACTATGTGGAAATATCAGTGACAATCTGCCATTACAAATTTAATTTTTAAAGCTAAAAGTCAAGCCTTGACTAAAAGTCTTGACTAAAAAAACTAATAGCTATGTAAAGAAAGACATTGAAAGAGGAGAAATTTATGTAAAGAATTCAAATGATAGAATTTTAACAGAGGAAACTCTTAATGACGACAGCTAACTTTTACATAGCACTTTAAGGTTTGCAAAATACTTTACACATCTCATTTATCATCACAACAACCTTAAGATGTAGGTACTATTATCATTTCATTTTATAGATAAAGTACTCAAGATGTCCTATGTTCTAAGCAAATGCTTATATCAACACAGTATATCCTCATGGGCTCTGGTTCCATCACTGACTGGAGGTGTATCATTTTGTCTAAACATGAGCCATATTAACTCTTCCTTTATTTCACTTGTTGAAATCAAGTTCCAGAAGACACCTTAGAAGCTATTTAATTCAACCCCTTCATTTAATAGATGAGTTAACCAAGGTGCAAAGAGCTTAAATAACTTGCCAAAATCATTTACAGTTAATGCCATGAGCAGGATTTGAATCCAGGTCCTCTAATTCCAAGGCCAGTTTATCTTTTCACTATAATACTATGCCTCCCTTGGTAGATACTATGTCTGGAAAAAACTTTTTGAGCTACTCAGAAAAAAAAAATTGGTCTATAAAAATACGAGACCTCAAATGATAAGAACTGTTTCCTACCCATTCTTATTTCTCAATTATTTTACATATCTAGAGTATAATACACATGCTTTCCTCAGTTGTTTTTGGTCATTTAGCTTTTCAAATAACCTTTGCTTTAACTTCAGCTACTATGTTAACACATATTTTGACTTCTTCAAAACCATTATTAAAAGCTATTTAAGTAAGTTTTTTAAAAAGTTTATTAATAGCTGGTATAGCTGTACTAAAAGGCAAAAATAATACAAATCAATAGATCACAGCATGCTTGCAGTACTGCTGCTACCCTTCTGCTTTCTCAATACCATACCTCATTTATAAAATTTGAAAAGGTTTAGAAAAAATTTAATCTGAAAGTATTTTGACAAGTCAAAATTACTACAAATGCCAAAGAGGTGTGATATGATCCAAAGAAATAAGAAACCTTTGTACCAGATCATAACCAAACTAGACAAAGTTAAACAAAATACTGAATATAGTAATCTAGCCTTAACTGCCACACTGAAGAACAAATTCAGCCTAAGATTTCCATAAGGGGGTTAACTGGATAAAGTGGATGTGCTTTGTTTTTACAAATGTCTTGCAATTAATAAGGCTGTAAGTTTCCTGTGGGCAGGTACTTTGTCCATAATCTCGACAGAACTTAAAATACTGTCTTGCATCTGGTACATTCCTAAAAAAAATTTAGTCCTTGGGCATATCGTATTTCAAAATCCTTCATGGTAAAGGGCCCTTTTTTCTTTTTTGCACCCCAGTACCTTGCACAGTGACTTTGCACATTGGAGGTGTTTAATATTTATTTAATTCGTTGCAAAACTGCACTAGAACAAACTTTTAAAAACTGAAATCAATTTAAAAGCATCCAGGAAGCTTGCTTTTTAACTAATCTTTTATCTTTCCTACTTTTGTGAAACAAAAATATTGCCCCTCAATTTTATATTAATCTACCTGTTCACACGCTAACTTTGTTTAAAGCAAGGTTTATCTGAACGAATATGAAATGGATAGATTGCTGCTACTTATTGAAAAATTAAACTAGCAGTTGATATTTTAGCAACTTATGTAGTAGACATATACAATAAAATCAAAAAAGCTCATCTTCCCAAGTATGTAATAACATGTGCAGTGGCATCTTCTAAATATAGATCAAATGGAAATCAACAAAAATCCTATTCGCAATCATGTTTTTTTATAAATTTTTTAAACTATATTTTACATTTTTGCTATCAGATCAAGTTATTCAGAAAAGGAAGAAAATGCCACTTTTCTCAACATTCTCAGAAAATACATTTAATCATTTTCCAAATCAAACTCCAATAAACACAATTCATCTTAATTATGGTTATAACTCAAAATTTTCCAAGATAATTCAATATGTTAGCATTAATTTTTTTAATCCCTGAGGAATCTGAATCACACTTTATAAAAATCTTAGCAATAAATATACCTACCTCATTGGTTTGCTGTGAGGAAAAGTACTTGTTAAACTTACAAGTATAGCATAAATATGAGTTAAAGTTAATTTTAAAACATTCCCTCCAAGGTCTACTTATCTATGTTGTTCTATTAATTTTCTATATTAGAGATTAATTGGAGCTATCCTCCTGCTGATGTCCAATGCTTTTTTTATCCCTGATTTAACAACTTAAATTACAAAAATGACAATTGCTTGGTAACAATACATACTTCAGGGTTTGCAGAAAGGACTTAACAGCCCAAAATTAAATATGGAAATCCTAACTTTAGAGATGTAAGTAAAGTATCATATAGAAATCCAGTTCAGTATGACTTTGTTTTTTAAACAAATGAGATAATTAAGGCCTAGAAAGGTTAAATGACTTGCCCAAGGTCATAAGATTATTTAATGATATATCAGCTCCTACATCCTGGGTTCTTTCCTCTAAACCACATATTTCACTCACAGTTAGTAGAAAAGAGAGGAAATTTTCAAACAATCTCAAAAAGGTCTATCTTCTTCTTTCCATCAGAAAACAATATATCTAAGTAATGATGACTATGTTTTCAAAAAAGTAATTCTACTGTTGAACATGGAGTAATTTTTCTAATACTTCTGATCATAAAAAAAATTTATGAAAAGGAACATTCAAAACAATTTTATATGATGAATAAACTAGACTCACATCTCATGTTATGGTAAAACATGCTGGATGATAGGCCTGACTTTTCATCTCTGTGGTATGGTGTGTAATTGAAATGACATAATTAGGTGCTACCAGCAAGTGAGATGCTATCAAAGTCAAAAGCTGACAATCATCTGATTCAAGACTTCTTTGAGGTTCCAAGAATCACAAAACAAAATACGAGTAGAAAAAAAGGGTGTATATATTATTCCAATTATGATGAACTAGATGTATGAAGACCTAAAAGTTGTTTGTAACTAACATTAAATTTATATTTAGATTTTTATCATACATAATACATTAATTAACCAGTCAACTATAACGGGAAAATTTTAATTATTAAAAGCCTGGCACAAAAAATAACATGTCAATTATGAACATAACTGTTAAGACTGAGAGCATATTGCTGTCGCTTAAATGTCTTCCTTTTCCATTGTCAAATTTTAAGCAATAGAATAATTAGAACTCTATCCCATTAGATTAAGGATTAATTTTTGAAATTATTATTTGACAACTGAGATAGGTAGGAAAAGGGACTTGACATAAACTGCTCCTAAATTCTTCATCTTCTCACCAAAATTTGTTTTTTCACAAGTAAATGAGTTGAATGTTAAGTTTTGACTGAATATTAAGCTTCAGTCAAATATGACTAAATTAAGAGTATTTCAATTAACTGAAGTCCACCATCATTTATTCTATGCGTCATGAAGACACTCATCTTCTCTCAGAATTTTGTTTGTAAAGACTGTAAAGTTTAAATTTAAGGCATGCTGTTTTTAATCAGGCGCTACCTGATTCATGAGAAAAGCCTAAAGTTCACATGCTTTTCCTATGGAAAAAGAATAAAGCTTTGAACTCATTTTTAGCAAACAGGAACCAAAAGAATGAACAAAATAACAGCTCAGGACACACCTATTAATTTGGCTAAAATGTTTTAAGTACAACTGGTTTTTGATACAATCTAGTCTGCACTTAAACTTAAAAGAGGAGTAACGTAAAACTTTAAATTATGTTACCAGATAGGCTGGATATATTCCAAATTGTCAAGAAAGCCTGAACAATCCTTAATTTTTTTTTTGTGCATGTTCTTCCAGTGTCTTAATCTGATTTCCAAATTCTATTCTGTTGACTTCATAAGAGAACTGAATGAATTCCTTAACATTATTTATCACCAATCCCAATTTCCAGTCATACACCCTTTGCAATATTATTTCTTTCAAAACACTAGTGTAAAAAATTTCTAATGCTTAAAAAAATTGCCTCCACTTAGATTCTAAGATCATAACTAGTGAAAATGAAAAAGCATTATACTGTTTTTTTCCTGTAGCAGAGTTGTGGTAATAGGTATGCACAACCTAAAAATATAAGTAGGAAACAAACAGTACATTTTAAAAATATACTACAAGGCAGTATAACTCTTTTTAAATGTTTATTCAATGACTTAAAAAAAAAAACTATTAGCAAATGCCCGAAGGCTGTACGAGTAATTCTATAAAACATTTGTCATTTTAAAATCAAAATGATAAAAAAATTATTTATTGCAAAGATTAAGTGATCAACTATTACAAATTCAATTATAATCCTGAAGAATATTTTAGTTGGAAGTAGGTATAGCTACATAAATGTACACATGAATTAAGGTTTTTTTATTAAATGTTTTTATACAATATTTAAATAATGTAGAAATTTAAATACATTTCTGAAATTGTAAACAAAAAGGCTAAACAGTCTAGTTTGTCTTCTATGCCCTTGCCAAAATCTGGTGCCATAGTATTTAAATTTTTGATTCCAATTCTTCTCACTAAAAGACCATATTCGGGTGTTAAAAAATCCATCCACATACCTGCTGCACAAAAAACAAGGCTTTTTCAAAGATGCCTTTTTATTTCAATGGCTACCCTTCAGCCATCTCAATCTTCAGAAATGAAGCATGTACCTTTGGAGGAAAAAACAGTAGGCATACTTTAAATAAATTCATCTAAGCATAAGGTCCAGTTTTACTGAGTAAGATTAATGCTTTAAAAAAACATTTTATGGCTTTTTGGTAAATAAAACAAAGTCTTTAAAATCAAAAGTCAAAATTTTGAATACACTCTGAAATGCCTAAAACAACCTAACTTGCAGAAAGCTACACAATTTAATTTCTGAATTATTATTGTAAACATCTATTTCATTCACTTCACGATAAAGTTAAAAAGGATACAATGCATACTTTGAGTTTACACTTTTCTCAAAATATAATGAAGACTGGAATGCTTTTAACATACTTTAACAAGAAATGAATTTGTATTGCACACATATTTATTTCCCTGAAATAGAAAAGAGTCAAAGGTTTGACATTTAAAACCCAGTGACACTAGATCCAATTACTTCTAAATAATCCATTCTAAAAGTGCTCACTGGTTAATTAAAAAGATATAAATAAGAATAACAGCAGTTAATGAAAATTTAACAAGGTTCTCTCCTAAATTTCAAATAAACTAATGAAGTTTACCAATTCTTACCTCTAATAAGCTTTCAATTTCTTTGGAACCATCAAGCTGAAGTTCTGTGTATTATCTATAAAGGAAGGGGAAAGAAGGAGAGGTATCTTAATGTTTTGGTTTTTAAATATCACTTTGTCTAAGTATCAGGGGGAGATAAAAAGGAACACTTACAAAAATAAGACCTGTAGCCATATTAACACTGGTTCACTAAGGCACCATCTATGTATGCATTTGTGGTATAGTGATTTCTTAATATTAAATGTTAGGCTTTGTTTTCATTATCTTTGGCTGCAGGGGCACACATTGGAGATAGAGGATGGTGGGACCTTAAGAATGTTACAGGCAAGCAGTATTTTTTTTTTTTAGCCAGGTTTCTTTCCTCTTACTCCAGCTTATCAGAACACGCAAAACATAGAGCAAATTCAGAATTAGTTTTCTAAAATTAATGTAGTCTCCATTTCCTTTGTCATCAGAAATATTTTTTTCTAATCCTGACCAATAAAAAAATAAACTTCCTTAAGAACTGTTGAAGTTAAAATGGCCTCTGCTACTGTAAATTTTAAACCACAAGTTATTTGAGCTCACCACGTAATATATTAGCTTTGTCCTTTCGAGCAGTTCTAAAACTTGCAGTATCTATGACCTTTATTCAATTTCCAAACTACATTGTTAAAAATTTACCTTCAGGTATTTTTCAAAGACTTACTATTTTTAAAAACACAAAAACAAAATAAAATACAATTTTCCTAGATTCATCCTAGTAGCAATTAAGTGTGCTTCAGAAATAAAGCTCATTTCTTTTTGAAAGCAATTTAGATTGAGAATACCCATTTTAAACCACTTAAATTTTTTAAGTAACTATAAATACCAATTTGGAAGTGTAGTAAAACTACTAATTCTACAGAAGATTTAGAAAAACTAAGATGTATGAAATTTATAGACAAACATAATAGCAAAGCTACTTGAGTAAGAAAATAATGCCTTGCAACCATGCAGCCTAAGTCAATCTGCATCTTTGGTCGAATTCCTTGCTGAAGGTTGTTTTTTAGTCAGGTACAACCTTTTACAATGTCAGCTTATCCACAAGAAAATTCGAATATACTATAGAGTACATAATTTTATATATATACATCATCTATCACTTTTGAATATCAAATTTTTCTAACAATTCCACCTTTAAAATTATTACTTTATATACATAAACATATTTTTAAAACAACGTGTACTGTTTGATAGAAGGCTAAATCCAACAAATATGGCTCCTCTTCATCCTCAATTACTGAGAAGTCTTACCTAATATTTACACTACAAGTAACTTCATTTAGAGACTCAGTTTGAATATTCCCTTAAAAAGTTTGTCAGTAGTTCCCTGTCATGTCATTGAACGTTTTTTTAAAAAATTGTTCCAAAAGAACTTTTAAAACTCTAACAACTCAGGTAAGTTCTGAATTATCAGTTGTTTTTAAAGACAGTAATATAAATTTTAAGAAGTTCCAGATAATGGCGACTGATAACCTACAAAAGCCATTAGAAACAGCCCAGTTAATCACTGCGGAGAAAACAGGATGTCAAATATTTTCACCTTACATGTCAAATTTAAAAAAAGAAAACTGAAGGTAGTAGTCTCTGTTTAAGGATATGCACATTACGTTCCCTCTCCCTAAGCACAATAATCCAATTTAAGCCATACATTTGTCATAAAATACTTTATTAAGTATACAGATACAGGAAGTTTGTTTTTTAATAGAAGCATTTCTGAAACTTATTTTTAAAAGCATTTAATTAAATTTAAACATTTATTCTTTATGACGAATTTTTTTTAAAAAATAGTACTCCAAAATATCTTCGAATACATAATCCCGCAGTCCATTTTCTGGAATGGCTTGGAAAGAGTTAAAAGCCAACACCCCAAAAAAAACCCAAGTTTTATTTTTAAAAACATAGACAAGGTTCTATCAATCATTTAAATTAAACCATGGTAGTTAACATTCCTAACCTCCAGAAAGAGAACCATAAAAAGCCCTAAAAGCAGAATTTAAAGGGTTCCCCCCAACACAATAATTTACAGGAGCAAAAAAACAATTCTTTAACATTTCTCTCCTTCAGGATGACTATCTCCAGCCTACAAATCACTCCCATCCCCTTTTTCAGACAGAGTCCCCAGGTTTGGGGGTGAACAATTCAAAAGCCCCCACCCCCCACAAGTCTGCGGTCTCTGCAGCAGTAACCACCAGCTCCCCCCCCATCCCTTGCCTTCTCTTCTCCCCTCCCTTCCCCCTAGCTCCAGAACCGGGGATCCTCCATAACCCCCTGGCAGCAAATGCAGCCTTGCGGGGCGCCCGGACAAATGCCCCCCCCTCCCACCCAGGCCCGGGGTAGGTGGTGGGGCTCGGGGCTGGCGCGAGCAGCCCCTGTGCAGAGCAGGGAGCGCCGCCGACTCGCGTCTCCTCCTCCCCCCTCCTCCGAAGCTCAAGGACATTTTGTTTTTCCTCTCAAGGACAAAGGACAATAAAAGGCGCAGAGAAAAGAGACACTTACCCGGTCCGCGGGCAGCAGGGACCCCGAGCCCCGAGCTTTCCTCCTCGCGGCCGGCCTCCCCCGCGCCCGACGGGCCAAGACCCCCGCCGCACCTCCCGCGCCCGGCCCAGGGCCGAGGGCGCCAGGGACGGAGTCCGCATCGGGCGAGTGCCGCAGCGGCCGCGGCAGCCACGGCTACAGCCTACCGCCCCCCCTCCGACCCGATCGCCTTTCCTCCGCGGCCCCCGGAAACGCTCGCTGCGCCGGGGCTCTGCGGGCCCCACCACCGCGCCCTGCGAGAGCCCCCGGCGGGCCAGGCGCGGCTCCTCGCCGGGCCGTCCGCATCCCGCCGCCACCGCAGCGGAGCGCCTGACAGCTCGGGGTGCTGCTGCCTCTCCGGCCATCTTGTGCCGTGTGTGTGGTGTCTCTCTCCCGTCTCCTCTCTCTGTTACTCCCTCCTCCTCCTCCTCCTCCCCCAACCCCCGCCCCACACACACCACACAACATGGCCCCTTCGCTGCGGCTGCGGCGGCTGCAGCAGCGGCAGCAGGAGCTCCACAGCGCTCCAACCTCCCCGCCCCCCATCACTTCCTCCATGCAACCTAACTCGCCCCTAACGCAACGGGGCGCGCACTAGCGCGCTGCGCCGGCGCTCCCATTGGCTCCGCCTCCTTCCATCTTCCCCCATCTCAGCCTGGCCGCACGCAGGCCCCAAAACGTTCTTCACCACCCAACAACAACTCTGCCCTTCCCATTGGCCAAGCTTGATCCCACCTCCTTACCGCCAGTTGATAGGCTTCTTCTCTTGCCAATTGCTCCATCCCTCCGCTTTGCTTTCTTCTTTACTTGGCCCTCAGCTTCCCATTGGCTGGTGCTCAAAGCGCTGGGTTCTGAATTGAGGGGCTGCTCAGGGTTGGTCGCTCTAGACCTCTAGACCGGGCCTCCGCAGGCCAAAGGATTTCAAGCAGCCCCCCCAAAATGTAGGGAACGTAAAAGAAAGTGAAGATGTAGCGAGCGCTTTGTCCATGCCCCGCTTAACCCACCTTCCACTAGTTATCATTGTGCCCGTCATCTAAGTTGGCGGGTGAGTTGACACTGCGCACCCTCTCCTGTTTGTCACGTGATCGGAGGCAACCAACCATCCCTAGTCTGTCTCTAGTCTGAGAGGAGGGAGAGTTGTATCTTTTAGCTGTGTTCGGTCATTATTGGCGGTAAAGGGAACAAAGTGAGTGCAGCCACGCTCCAAGGTCAGACACTCAGTTAAGTAGTTTTTTGTATGGGAGCAGTTGCTGTGGAGATTTTTTTTGGTTCTAACATTAAAGTTTTGGGGGTGACTTTGTAAAATGGGTGATAAAAAGAAACGGAAAATCGAATCAGAACATAGAGTATTTAATCCGGAGTGGACACATAGATACTTGTTTACTTACACGAGAGACAAAATATTGTGCCTTTTTTGCCAAGAAGTATTATCCGTTCCAAAGGAGTACAATCTTCGTCGCCATTTCGAGTCAAAACATCCTGACTTAAGCAAATTGGACATCAATGAAAAACAAATTAAAGCATCCAAATTGTTGAAAAATCTCAGTGGGGAACAGTTTTTCAAGAATGTAAACTCAGAAAATGAGGCAGCTACTAAGGTTAGTTTTCAGATTTCTAAAGAAATTGCTGCTGCTGGAAAGTCTTTTACTGAAGGTGACTTCATAAAGAAGTGTTTGCTGATTGCAGTTTCTGGATTATGTCCCGATAAAAAAAGTGTTTTTGAGAATATAAGTTTATCCCGTATGACTGTGCAACAAAGAGTAGCTGATATATCCAATAACCTTAATGATCAGTTAAATCAGAAGACAAATGAATTCAGCTATTATTCTTTAGCGATGGAGGAGAGCACTGATTTGACAGATACTGCTCAACTTCTAATTTTCATTCGAGGTGTTGATGAAAACTTTGAAGTAACCGAGGAACTGGCTGGTTTGTACTCCATGCTAGGTCAAACTACCGGAAAAGAAATCGCAAATCAAGTGAACAAGTGTGTCACTGAAAAGTTAGGCATAACATTTGAAAACTTAGTGGCTATTTGCACCGATGGCGCTCCATCTATGTGTGGGAAAAACCTTGGTGCAGTAACTCTTGTTGAAGAGTTTGCTGGCAAAAAAATAACTAAATATCATTGCATTGAACACTGGCAAGTTTTATGCAGCAGAGTTTTGAATTTCGACAGTGTAATGTCAGTGGTACTTTCAACTGTAAACTATATTCGTTCAAGGGGACTAAAACATAGGTCATTTCAAGAATTTCTTAAAGAGGTTGGTGCCACCGGCAACGATGTACTCTATCACACAGAAGTTCGTTGGTTGAGCCGTGGAAGAGTATTGCAGCGTTTTGTTGCTCTCAGAGAAGAAATCATTCAATTCTTAGAGAATGACTCGAAAAACTTCCCAGAGCTGCATAATGAAGTTTGGAATAATGACCTGTATTTTTTATGTGACATCACAGGTCATCTAAATGAATTGAATTTACAGCTTCAAGGGAAAAATCAACTTATTTTTCAAATTATTGCTGCAGTGAAGGCTTTCAAAATGAAACTGAGGCTATTCAAAAGCCAGCTGTCAAAAGGAGAAATGTGCCACTTTACTACGTGTATGAAACATATTCCATTGTGTAAGCATGCTGAGTTAGGAGAAAAATATTCAAATGACATTGAACTTTTGATCCAGGAGTTTGACAGAAGACTGACACTATCCAAAGAAGATGACATTAAATTTAAGTTAATTGAAGATCCTTTCTCTGTGGATCCACAGGAACTCCCCTCGCATTTACAGCTAGAGGTTATTGAGCTTCAGTGCTCAACAGTTTATCAAAATAGACACAGAGAAACCAGCCTTCAAAACTTCTGCAAGAGTTTGGACAAGAGAAAGTTCAAAAATCTGCGAGATGTTGCTTTACAGGTTTTCAGCATATTTGGGAGCACCTACATATGTGAACAAATCTTCTCCATTATGAACTTAAATAAAAACAAACAACGATCAACTCTCACTGATGAACACTTGGAAAATATTTTGAACACATCAATTTCAAACATGATTCCAGAGTACGATAAACTGATTGCTGACAAGAAATGTAATACATCCCATTAACTAAATGTAAACAGTAAGAAAACCTGAAAATATGTATTAAAACTTGTACTACTTAAAGTAACCTTTTTAACATTAATGTGATTTCATGATAAATAAAAATCTTAATAAGTGTAATTAATTGTTATTAATTGAACTTTCCCTTTTTAAAAAAATATGGTTTATTTGCAAAATAATTTAATTACCTTTAATTAGAAAATGAGCCACTGAAAACCTATCTGCAGCCCGAAGAAGTTTAGCCTATTTTAATTTTGACCCCTATCTACTGCCAAGTTGTGCAAGTCTGCCCTGGACCCTCCCTATCACCTCCTTCTCAACTTGGTGTTTTGTTTCTGCTCTTTTTAAAAAATATTTTTTATTTCTAAAATTAATAACCATTAATAAAAAGAAGCATTCAAATAAACATTTTTTATATATTCTTTTTTTTTAAATTTAGGCAATTGGGGTTAAGTGACTTGCCCAGGGTCACACAACTAGTAAGTGTCAAGTGTTTGGTCTGAGGCCAGGTTTGAACTCAGGTCCTCCTGACTTCAGGATAGGTGCTCTATCCACTGCACCACCTAGCTGCCCCTCAAATAAACATTTTTAAATGAGATCATATGTAGAGCCATAAGCTCCAAACTACTTAATATGTGCATCAAAACTTTAACAAAATAAGAACGAAAAAGTCTTACTTGCTTCTGTGTATTCTATTAGTCTGCTTTTCTCCTAGGTCATTTTTACCACATCTGCTCAAGATTAAAAAACAGCACAGGAATTCTGAACCATGATCTCTGCAGCCAATCCCTGGGCCTTTAGAATAATGAGAAAGGAAAATATTGACAATTAGAGATGAAAGATTTAGTTCTGAAAGGAACCTTGGATGTCAGGTAGTCCAACTCCTTCACGAAAGAAGCAAACAGGTCCAGAGAAGTTGTGACTTGCCCGAGGTCATACAGGTAGTCATTGGAGAAATCAGGGAGCAAACCCAGCATTTGTCCATTTCAAGAAATTGCAAACTTAGCTTTTCTGATTTGTTGCTCTTTCTATAACCTCTCTTCAAAAAGGTTTCCTCTTCACAGTACTCTAGTAGAAGCAAGTTAATACCTTTCCTCTGAAAATACTAAAGACTATTAGTAACACACCATTTAAAAGTTCAGGTTCTGAGAAGAGATAGGACAGTCACAAGTGATGGGAAAAGGTAGAGTTCTACCAAACTACCAGACCACCAGAATTTACTCTGGTCCAACTGAAGAATCCACCCTATATCCTTTGGCATTGTTTCTCACCTCTGAACTACCAAGGCATCTTTTCTCCCCAGTGAGATATTGTAATAGCATTCTCCATATTTATTATATTGACACCTTACTAGTAAAGCCCAAGAAATATCTCTAGGGGACTGCTTTCTACCACCTTCACTTTGCCTGGTCTTAATAAGAACAGCAATACATAATTTTGATTAATCTGGATTTCATATAATCTCTTGTAGCAGTATTTCTTAAGTAGGGGACAGGGAAAAACTACTCTGAATAAAGGAATTGAGCATAATTCATTAATACACCTGTCTCTCAAAGACAATTCACAGCATTTTTGTTTGTCTACAGTTTAACATGCCTATTAGATGGTAAACTCCTTGAAAGTAAGGGCTATATATATTGTTTTCATTTTTATGTCCCCCACAGTCTGACATAGCACATTGTACATACTTCAAAATAGCCTTTTCTTTGATGTGGGCATTTGCGCCACCAAGCAAATTGCCATCCTACCATTCCTTCGTAATGGGTTCGTGGGTTGCTGTAACCATGAAAGTGGACAACTTTCTAGTCAGTCAATTCAATCCAATATAATAGCTTCATGGGTCAGTGAAATGGCGTAGGATTTAGAATCAGAGGACTTGAGTTCAAATCCCAGCCCTTCTACTTACATGACCTAGAGCAAGTCACTTTAGCGGGGTGTGTCGTTTTTCTTATCTGTCACATACGGGGGTTGGACTCAATGACTCATCCAGCTCTAAATCTATGATACTGTGCTCTTATACTATGTGTAAGGTACTAAACTAGTTACTGGCATACAGAGACACAATAAAAAGAGTTCTTGTCTCCAAGAAGTTTACATTCTGCTTGAGGGTGGAGGAAATGGACAACACGCATACAAATAAATATAATACAAGGTAATGAGTAGGAAGGAAGTAATAAGAACTAAAGGAATTGGGGATAGAAAAGATCATGGTGGTACCTGAGCTAAGCCTTGAAAGAAGACAGAATTCTGACATACAAGAGATAAAGAGGAATGAAGAATGGTTTATGAATGCACAAAGTTGGGAGTTAGAC